TGGTAATTCATTGGATAGAATTTGAGAGACTATTGATTATAGGTCAAAAAGTCATCGATGTAAAAGCTTGAAATATGATATAGCGATTCATTGGATAGAGCTTGAAAGTCTATTTTTAGAGCAATATTTCTGATTTGTAAATAAAAGATTAATGAATGACTTAAGCTTGAACCAAGATCGAAGAGCGTGTGAGAATATGAGACTTGGTATGCTCTAAAAATTTACTCCTTTTATGAAATAACACAAAGATCAAAAAAATTTCTAATTTTTTATAACAACTGAGAAGACATAAAAATACTTATTTACTATTGGATGCACTACATTCAGAGAGCTAGTCGAGTAAAACATTCATGGTGAGATAAAAACTAATGTTCATAAAAAGAAAACATGGGGCAATAAAGAAGAAACTTAAGTAAACGGAGTTTCCAAACAATGTAACATCAAAATCATCAAGGGAAATAATTTAAGAATAATTATAGTCGTCTCCATTATGTCAAATGGCACTCTAAACTCTGCAAATTACTACAGCTCATAAAATACAGGATTGCCCCCTTAACCCTTAAGGGTAGGCCATTTTGATGGTTTCAAAAAAAAAAATTCAAATTTTAACATAAGGATGAATGGCGAAAATCTTAGGCATGCTGGCATCGAAAACATAATGAAAAAGAATAGACAAGGCAAAATTATTTTCAGTCTTATCAAGAATCACAACAATTTCTGGCATCCCACACTAATATGAACAGCAAAAAGTGGTACCAAGTCAAAAGTCACGACTGACTCAAACTCAATAACCCAGAAAAGTGATTCCACCTATTCACAATGACATGGTAAGAAGCTCATGAGGCTCCCTATATGGTGAAAGATGTAATTATTATTTTTAAGCAACTGACAATAACTCTATTTAACTTTGATTCATGAATGATAGTTAATGTGTTCGGTTAATGTGTTTATGACCAAGCATATGCCTGTTAATCTTAATTTATTTTCGCTGCATGACGTCTCTGTGAAACTGGGTATAAACTAACCATATACCATGCTGCTATTGATTATCACAAGGGAAGAGTAATTTTTGTATATCTTGTGCAATAATTTTTAGGATTAATAGTATTAATATCTTATCTGATATCAACAATTAAGATAGGAACGATGATCCTATTGTGTGTGCTGGTTATCTTACTTGCATGGTGGATACCAGCAAATTTAGTGCAAGGTTAGATAGTATGCCCAGCGTTCAAAAGTTTGTTGATACATTTTCTGAAGATTTATATGGTTTACCACATTTTTGCAATATGGCTACAGATTTAGTTTTGAGTATCACATAAATTTTCAAAGCAATGTACCGCATGGCCAATATTAAATTTGAAGGGGGTTTCCACATTTAATAGCATGAATTGCTCGATGAAGGATTTATTAAGCCTAGTGTTTCACCTTTATATAGACAATGTACTTAAAGAAGAAAGAAGAAAGTATGAGCTGTGCATTGGCTACAAAAAAAGAATAAGATTATCATGAAAAATAAATATCCTCAACCTCATAAAGATGACATGCTTGACCAACTATAAGATTCTTCTATGTTTTCTAAGATTCATCTTCATTTGGTTAACATCAATTAAATATCAAGAATAAAAATGTGCCTAAAAGCACTTTCAAACCATTGGGACCAACCAATGCCCTTGCTGGTTTCATGGATCTAACGAATACAATTGTCAAAACTAGTCACTCACCTTGTTATTATGTTTATTGATAAATTTAATCTATTTTACAAGAAAGAGAAGCATGCCCAACATCTTTAAGTAGCAATAAATACCTTTCAGTAAAAAAAAAACTATTTAAAATTCTTGAAGTACAAGTTTCAACTTTGCAAGGTAGCTTTCCATGGACATATCATTACTAGAGTTAAAATTCCTTTAGATTCTGCCAGTGAAAGTGAAATTCAATTGGTTGAAACCAAGCAACACTACTGAGATTAATAATTTACTTGGCTTAGCTAGTTACTATAGAAGATTTATTGAAGGCTTTTTTAATATTGCTATATCATTAAATAGACTAAATAAGAAATCCATAATGTTTGTATGGATTAATGTTTATGAGCAACATTTTCATGAACATAGTATTTGCTTAGTGTTAGTTTCTATTCTCACCACTCTTTTAAAATTGATAGCAGATTTATAGTGATATTCACATTAGGGTTTAGGTTATGTTCTAATACCATTCAATAAAGTGGTAGAATGCCTTTAGGCAACTAAGGATCGTGAGAAGAGTCAGCCTAGTCATGACTTGAAACGGACTAAAATTATTTTTGGATTGAAGATCTTGAGGCACTATTTAATGGTATGAATTTTAGGGTTTTCACTAAATATAAGAGCTTAATGTACATTTTTACTCTAAATAATTTGAACTTGAGACAAAGGTAATAACTTGATTTGATGAAAAACTATAATGCAGATTCAATATCAAACAAGTAAAAGTAATGTGATGCTAGATGCCTTGCTTGAACGTTCACTCAAGAGTGATGCTCAATTCTTGAGATGGACCAACTCCAATTGAGATATTACTCATATATCACTGTTCAACCAATGTCAATAGATTGAATATGCATACCTCGAACAAAAGAATTTAAGTAAATGTAGCTTAGAGAATAGGTTCAAAATGAATTGAAAACCAAGCTATATATTTATGAAATAGATACATTGAAATTCAAGCATTAATTATGAGTTTTTGATTAGGCAGGACTTTGATAGGAGATGCTCTGAGAAGCGCACACCACCTCATATTTTTGTTCATCCAAAAAGTAATAAACTGTATTAAGATCTCAAATATAACTCTTCCAGTGGTCTGATATGAACAATGATGTTACAGACTTTATCAACATATGCTGGTCAAATGGTCAAGGCCTAAGATTAAAGACCTAGTATGCTGTTGCAATCTCTGCTTACTTATGTGTGAGCAGATTGCAATAGATTTTATAGTTGGCTTACAAGATTAAAAAAAAATTCATGATGTAATTTGAAAAGTAATCAATAAAATCAAAAAAACTATTCATATTCTATCAATTATGCAGAATATCCGGTATTTAGAAAGAATAAATGTGAATAGTATTAACTGACTATATGAGATATCATCATTATTATATTTATAGTACTTCTAAGTTGCTAAAGAAAGTGTAAAAGGTTTTGGCCACTGGATTAGACATTAGTGCACATATCATCCTCAAACACACAATCAATCAGAAATTGTCTTAACATTGGAAGATTTATTATGAACAAGAATTATTTCACATTTTGAGGCAATAATAAAGATTGCATTAATACGGCTCGATTTGGGGTTTACAATCATCAAGGTAGGAACAAACAATTAGACGAAGAAATTCAATTTTCAAATTCTTATCTCAAATTAAATAAATCAATCATTTGATAAATCGAAAAAAATTCTATCTCACAAAATTTAGCTCAATTTAAAAACAAACAATCATGAAGAGAGTTACAATTCTCTAGCTTAATTGCATCTTATTATAGAAGTTTTTCCTTTCCTGCTCATTTTCTAACACTAAATTTCTTAGAAAATATTAGCTTAAAAATACGATGAGTGATCGACGACTCAAAAGAAATCATACTCTTAAATTATAATAACAAAATAAAAAAAATTTTAAATGCTTTTAAAATATAGTAAATTCGTAAAAAGTTAATTTACACTTTATCATTAAAAAATGATCACTTAAAATTATTCATAACATTCAAAAAATTATACTATATCTTATATTATCTTATTATTTTATATAAACATCATTACATCAGCACCATCTAAATTGTATGATCTATGATACTTAAAGATCAATATTTTTCGCCAAATTACGCGCAAGGGTACATTAAAATCTTCAGCTGGTACTTTAAAGGTTGAGCTTCATCAAACAATTTGCACCTGCAAGCATTTTATATGCTTCATATATATATATATATATATATAATACATAAATTAAAAAAAATTAAATATGTTGAAAAATTAGTAACCACCATTTAACAAATAAATCATGATAAACTATTACAATTGAATTAAAAGTATAAATAATTATTCATGTTATTTGTTTAGAAAAATAAAATATGTGATTATAATTTAGAAGGAAGAGCACTCACCATAAATTCAGAAGACAAGTTTGTGGAGGTTGTGACATATTAGGTAAGGGATCACCGTCCAGCTTTATGACATCACCTAAAATCTAGTGAAAGAGAGGGGAAAGAAGTTTTGGCAATGATAAGGGTTGGAACTATCAAAGTAGTGAATCAACAAAGTTAAGCTCTCAGATGTAATAAACAAGATAGATCGTCAGCGATTTGCTAGAGGAGATGGAAGCAGGGTTGTAATTGAGTCGAGTATATCATTGCTCAGACCTGACATGGTATAATTATAAGTTATTCATGTTCATCTTAAGCCTGTGTCGAGCTTGCATACATTGTTCAAGCTTGATTTGTTTAAATTTTTCAATGTTTGAACTTTGATTTATACATGATTTGTTTATGACAAGTGAACAAGCATTTGAACAAGCTAAAAATTCAAACAAGAATTAAAAATTACATATAAAAAAATTTAATAAATAATTTTACAATTCTGATCATAGCTAGTAATTTATAATATATGAATGTTAAAATTTTTGAATATTACTAATTAACTACATAATTCTTAATGTTGAAACAACACTAATTCAAATTTTGTAAGTAAAATAACTAAACTAACATAAAAGTTATAGGAATGATCATTTACTTGATCATATTAAAAAGAAAAGAATAGCAATAAGGGAATCCAAATTAATGTTGTTGGTAATTGCAGTATGATGGTCAAATAAAATGAACTCATTACATTCAAGATTATGAAATTCTATTTAAAAAAATTTATACTATTCTCTTTAACTATAAATATCTCATTCTAAATCACCCTTCATTTATTATTTTATTAATCAATTACAACTTAAATAATTTGCAAAAAATTAAAAAATTATGAATACATACCTGGAAAAGAAGCATTTTGTGTAAAACAGGCGTACATCAAACCCACAAAATGTTTATCCTATTAAAAGCAATATGATTTATTGCAATTAAAAAAATTAACGAGTAATAAGATGCTTCAATTTCATCAAGAGAAAATAGACACTATAATTTCTCAAAATATATGATCATTAATGTAGACAACATTCATCCATATTGAATTAATAGAATATCATTTATATTGAAGAAAAAACTTGCCAGTAGCTATTTCCAGAAATATATAATTTTCATCATATTGTCAGTCATTTGTGGTTGCCAACAACAAAAAAAAATGATAAAAAATCACAAAATAACTTCTCTTCCCTCAAAAAATATGTATCCAAGTTAATAATAATGAAGAACTTCACATTAGCACAAAATAATCTCGCAATCCACTAATGCTCGCTAAAAACTGCAACACCATTGTTTAATACTCCTTAAGAAAGATCAATAACTTTGATATCTTCTTTGTCCTGTAATTAGAAGTAAAATTTATATGATGTAATATTGATTTAAATGCAAAATAAACTTATTAAAGTTAATGACCAAGAATAATGTCATTGACTTTTTTCAAGTTCTATAATGATTTCTAAACCAATCACTTACACATATAAGAACTTGAATGGTGCTTCGAAGTAATGATGAGCGATATGCATCTATAAATTATACCCCAGCACTGAAAGTTGATTCTGATGCAATAGTAGTAATAGGTATTGAAAGTATTTCACAGACATTATAGACAATATACGGAACTTTGACTTGTTAGCTTTCCACCACTCTAAAGCATGAAACTGATAATCATCATTGTTCTTGTCAAGAATATAAATACTTTCTTTCAAACAGACATCAAGTTCAAACTTTACATTTTCAATGATATCACCCAATTTTCAAAAATTTCTCTTCCAGTATCAAAAGGCTTTCATCTTAAAGTAAAATGATTACTTTATACAAAACGACTAACATCCTCCTCATTAGAATTAATTGTATTTTCAATAATGTTTGATGCATGAGCATTATATAGCTCTTATAGTAACCCATGGATAGTTGAAACATGCCTCTGAGCTTCATTAAGAGGATAAATCTTAGATAATGCAAAATTAATTGACTTCATATTATGACGCGGGGCTCTTGGGTCTTGGTCGGCTTGGGCAAAAGACCGACCCAACCTCCATGCGGCACCGGATTGGCCCTCCATGCGGCACCGGATTGGTCGGGTCCTTTTGGGGCGGAAACTTCCGCCACCCCCTCCATAATCTCCTACACAATTTTCCCTCCTTTCCTACAAAGGCTTCCTTTCAAATTCCTTCTTTTTGCATCCCCTCTCCTTTATTTCTTGCCTATTGTCCCACTTGCCTAGCCCTCCCTCTTATTTATAATTATTGTTTGTTGAAGACTAATAAGTTTTGTTTATCTTTGAAACAATCTTAGACATAATTTTTGATATGTTGGATTTATTTACATCTAATACATGTTTATATATATCTATATATATATATAGACACACAGATATATATACTGTGTATGTTTGTCCAAATCGAAAAGTAAAACTAAAACGCATGGCAAGAAGAGTTGCTTATACCATAATATTTGAGCAATATTTAAGCAGGATTTAACCTAAATCCTAACAACAATAAAAATGACCACTTAAAATCCTACAGTATCTTAAAACCAGTTTCTCCTCCATTTTTCCCAAAATCCCTCACTTAGGGCATATTCAGTAGAAGGATTGGTGTAGTATTTAAGCAGGAGTTAACCTAAATCATATCAAACAACTAAAAATGACAACTTTAAAACCTACAGGAACTTAAATCACGTCTCTCCCCTTCTTTGCCCTAAATCCCACATTTAGCGATTGTTTCCGAGCAGGAACTGAGCAACATTATGAAGGATTTAACCTAATTTACCGATCAACAAAAACGACAAAATAAAGCCCTAAAAGATCTTAAATACCATTTCTCCTCCATTTTGCCTTAAATCTGAAAGGTTTCTAAACTGAAAAAAAAGACAAATTTAAACTACATATGTAGGGGTGTCAAAAAATTGACCCGATGAGCAACACGACTTGAACTCGACTCGAAAAATCCAGCTTATGGTTGACCCGAATATTTTTCGAGTCGAGTTTGAGTCAGATAATTCAACCCGTTTATTATTCGGATTGGGTTCAAGTTAAACCCAAAAGCCAAAACAAGACCCGAATAAGCACAAAGTTCGGGTCAAATTTTGGTTAGCCGGTTAAGCACGGGTTCGGGTCAGGTTCGGATCTCTGTTTTCAACCCGTTTATTATTCGGGTAGGGTTCAGGTTGACCCTATTTGAGTCAAGTCATTTTCGGGTCGGACCCGAACCAGATCTACTAACCTGAATTAACCCCTCTGCATACATGATCTTAAATCTTGTTTCTCCACCTTCTTGCCTTAAACCCCGGATATGGTAAATGAAATTTAAAAAAATATGAGGCTTAATCGAGTAGGGCTTAAAAGCAAAGTGGAGAGGAAGACACACTATAGAGTAGAGTTTCTAAGATTGTTGCATGTCACAATTTCGTCATTGCCTTCTCTACTTGCAAGCCCTAGATACTAGTGTTCGAGCAAAATCGGGAGACGGGAGAGGCGAAGTCACGATATGCTAGAGGGAGATCCTTACACGTCGTGATCGTGTCGTTGCCTTCGATGCTAACAAGCACTAGATACTGTGTTTTGGAAGAAGGGAGAGGCAAAGTCACAGGAAGATCCTTGCATGCAACAATCTATTCGTTTCTTTCAGCTATGAGGGTTTAAAGTTAATTTTATAGGTGTAGGGGTTTATGGAGTATTCGATATTTAATGTAATTGAAGTTTATTAATTACAAATGTATGAAACAAACCAAGTCTTGTATTTTCACATATAGCATTTAATTTTTAATAAAATAAATATATAATTATATATTAATAAA